AAATAAAACTGATCACATATAAAACAACAACACATGACATGAGTGCGACTTTATTTCTCTAACATATGAAACATGATCATTTATAAACGATGTAATCATCTAATCACATCACACAAAAAGTCAAAAAATAATTTCTTACTTAGTAATAAGGTAAGAGATTATTAAGATTGGCAGAGAATGCTCAAATATATGGTTATTTCCATCAATTATATGTCTATACTCCACAAAAGATGATAAAACTATGTGTTTGTATTATGTTCTTAACACCCATTTAATGAATTTTATGTTGATTATGTGATTAAAAGTATTCATTATCCTCCTCCCTAGTATGATAAAGAAATAATCAAAGCTCTAATTATATAATAACTATACATCAAGCATTTATGTTTAGGAAGTCAAGGATAATGATTTCAAAAATCATACATGGATTTTTAATATATCAGTAAATTATCAGTCAATTTAAATAGCATAAAGCAAAAAGTTTCAAATCTATACTCATTTTTATTGTACATAATGATCAATACATGTTATATATCTCTCTAGAGTTTTAAAAAAGATCAAATACTAAAGCATGATATCTTGAGATTTAAACCTACAAATGAAGGTTTGATGATCAAATACTTTACTTCATGTTTAATGAGGTTAGTAAGGATCACAATTTATGTATCATTTTCAAAAAAGTAAATAGATATGTTGAAGAAATAGACATGAGATTTATCAAAAGTGTCATGTCACATACATTGAATGTATGTGATAATTAATATATATGTTTTGAACATAGTCACCTGATTGATATTGGAGAAATAATCTTATGAAAATCATTTTGTTAGATGTACAAGCTACTATCATGAAAACAATATAGGTTTGATGTATGTCCACCAGCATTTCAAACAGTATTGAATCACAACCTTTAGTTTTACATACTCCAAATTGATGTATAAAGATGTTATTGAGAAAGTGGATTAATAAATTAGAAATAAAATGTAAAAGAAAACTAGTTTGGAAATATATTTTTTTAATATATATTAAATAATCTAGATTTTTTTTATCAAAAAAAGTCTATTGGCATTTACCACTTGATTAATTGTGAACATAATTTTTTCTTTCGCAATTGATGTGATCACATAATTTTTTTTTATAAAATCACTAGAAAGATAATGGACCTAAAAATGTTCTTGAAGTTGTTCATACATCATAATTGTTATCTTTATTGTGATGAGATAGATATGGCACATTGCAGAATTTACTCAAAAAGCTATTGTGATCAATTCTGAGAACAAAAGTTGCAATTGTTTTCATTGTGAAATTGTTCACTTTGACCAAGTATACTACATAGTTGTAGCGGAGTCTCATCAGATGTATCATTTGATTTATTTGAGGAAATTATTTGATGTTTATTCATCGTGACATAAATTATTCACTTGTACCCATCAAGTTTTGTTTTAACTAATCCCATCAACGTCAAACCGTTGCCAAAGTTTTAAAAATTGTTCTTGTGCATATATGGAAATATATGCACAAGAGGGTGAGGGTTTATAGATTTTGAAAGTTTGTACCTGATCTTACGAGAAATTGAAATCTCCAATCAGATTCCTCGGAGACATCACCATTACTTGTGAAACAAGAGTCAAACAAACTCTACTCCTGATCCATGCATTCTTTCTTCCGATTTCATATCATTGTACAAATCTGCATCAATCTGGGGAGCATTGTAATCAACTCAACTGCCGAATTGGGGCAGGCTTACCTTTGCAAATTCGTCTCAAGTATGCCAAAGGTTGAGGCGGACCGAAAAGTTGTTTCATTTGATGGTAGACGGGTGAAATGATGGTTTGGATTTATGCCTGGGGCGGGAAGGAGCAAAATGGAGAGAGCCAAAGTGGAGACGAAAGAAACATGAGTTTTTTGGCAAGGACTCAGCAACGCTTGGAAGTAAATTATTCATGCACATACCTAGGATATGATGCATCCTTCAGAGACATGCACGGAAAAGTCAGAATTGTCTGCACCGTCGGTTGATACTAGAACATAGTAACGTGTCTCGTTGGTGGGATACCATAGGATAAAATGAAACTTGATGGATACCAACAAGTAATTTGTGTTATGATGGGATCTCATCAAATAATTACATTGATTAAGACTCAATTTCCACCAGTTTATGGTTACAACAAAGTACTCATATAAAGTTGAACAATTTTTAAAAATTCTCGACATAGAATCTCTAGAGCCTAACATTCACTTCTCTGTATATAATTGACCTACTCGTAAATACGAGCATACATCATTTTGAAAGCAATAATAATATATCAATGATATCTCTTACAAGGGAATATGTGCTCATCTATTTAGTGATGGACGGAAAGCACAACTATGAATTGCATGAGAAAGATTACGGTATAAATGTGAAAGTAAATCTAAAAACTAATTTGGATATTAATTACTTTTAGGCTAAGTTGATTATGTTTATGATGGATTTTTTTTACGATGAAAGCTAATTGGGAGATAAGTATAACTGTGAGACTATTGATTTACAATATAAGCTAATTGAGATATTAACCACTCTCACTTCAAAAAAATACCCATGAAATAATGGATTATTTAACATGATATATTGTTTGGCAAAAGTAATATATATCTATATGTATCTTAAAATAGAGAGGTGCTAGTTATTACTCAATTTAGTCTAATTATATTCACTCTACATAATAAACTTGTGTCATTGTTCAAAGTGCTAGTGCTTTGGGACAAGGGGGCCTCCGAGGCTGCTGCTATTGGCCGGAATTTATAGGGGACTGTGGGTCAAATCTTCAAATTCCCCCAATTGTGACCCTCGGGGCTCTCGTACTCTGCACTCATCAACGGGGGGGGGGCCGAGTTGGTGTTGCACACATCAGCTTCCGAGATCATGGTCATGCATTCACTACAATGTTGCGAGTGCTCAAGTTTATGTCTGACGATCGATCATGCATCTTTTGACCGAGAAATTGGACCATGGATCTCGAGGCTGGGCGACATGCTCTTGTTTTGTAACTAGCACCGAATCGATTGGATTTGTCTCGACCCTCTGCCTTCCTCCGATTCCATGCACGATGATATAAAAAGCGGAATAAGAATAAAATTTATTTGCAGAATTTTAGAAGAAAAACGAAACCCCCATAGATATATATATATCTATTATTGGGAGCCGTTAGTCAAGACCTCCCTCACCACTATAGTAACGTGACGGCTAATTAGACTAAAATCAGTGATAACTAACCGTTAACTTAAAATAATATGATCATAATTTCTATGTAAACATTTGTAACTTTTAAAATAAAGAGTTACAACCCCATGAGTGAAACTGCAATTATACAATGATCCCTATGTGCAGGACAATGTAACAAACTGATACAATCTCCAAACCTTTCCTACTAACGAGTCACATAATCGGTATTTGCTCACATTGTGTCAGCAAGAAAGATCTCCAATAGCAAGGCAGTGACAGTTGATTTTGCGGATTGAAATCAGAACACGACCTTACTGCCAGAATCAAGTGCTTCCGGAAGCAACTAAGAGTCCGAGGCAAAGTCTGTGTCGGATCGGAGGGCTCCAGACTCTCAACAGAAACAGTTAAGTGATCAAGCCCAATCCCGTTAAGCTTCTCTGTCAGTCAAGAGTGTGATTCGCGCATGCCCAAAGATGTTACGCACATGCTCGAGACTCGAGATAAGAAACTGCATCACCCTCTTCCCTCCAAAACAACAAGCTCAAGGCAAAAGTCGCAACCCAGGCGGGCATCTCCTATCTCCACTGCGGAAAGCTGGCTCGCTAGCTAAGAATTTCTCTAAATGTATCAGCCCTCCTCAAGTGCCTCCCGCTCGCTCTGGATTCACTTCCTCTCATGGCTAAGCATTCGTGTGCATACGTGTTTTACCGATCAGTCTCGTCCGTCACCGCCTCCCTAACTACACCTTCGAACGCAATGCGAGCACAGACGGCTCGTCTCGAAAACCCTTGTACCCAAGTTAGTAAATAGTATTGAAGACGTCCAGATCCTTGAATCGGTTATACAAATTCAATTCTCCAACCCAGATATGAAGTTTTCAAATCACAGAGATCGGGGTTCAGAGGCCAGCTGCGGTTAAGTGCAGGGTTCTGTCCAGCGCTAGGAAACTTAAATCTCAGGAGTGTTATGAAATCACATTTTCTTGTTTCTGGCTCTTTTCCTTCACGCTGCATAGCCAAGAAGTAATTCTCGCTCTCTGTGGATTTCGTTCTCTGATTTGCTGGCGACAGATTGTGAATGTTACACACCGAAAGAGCAGAAAAATAATCGTCTGTATTACATCTCAGCGGACTGGACATACGAGAAGACTGAAGTGAGATCATCCTGTGAGTAAAGGATGATTTCTTCAACCTTCGATCAGGTTTGCCATCCTTAGCTGCATCGACTTCCTTGGCTGGAGTTGACTTTAACAACGGTGACATAATATTTGACTCGCAGTCTCAGATCTGAACTTCTGATCAATTTAAAGTTGGGAATCACTGTTACATGGTTACCATGACGTCCGGCACAACGCACTTCCTGACTCCTGAGCAGAAGCTAATCAAGGAGCAGACAAAGTCCATCAACTACAATAATCATGATTCTATCCTGATAGCAAACCTCCAAAACTGTTTCAGAAGCACATTATGACGATTGGAGGGCACTTCGTTACGTCTCCTTGTGCAGCTTTGTCTCCTTGAAAAGCTTTGCTCTATTTTGATTGTTAGGAACTAGAATTTGAATTCTAGGTTGTAATTAATGGATTGAAGACGGTCGACTTTCTGCTCTACAAGCGAAATGAAATACGCTTGACTACACAGGTGGGATTTAGGGGTAGGTGATAAGACGGCCACAATTCGAGCCTTCTTTCTGAAACCTTGAGTGTTTTGTGGCTGATGGGTTGGCTTGGTAGCCTTGAAGTGGTTCCGTACGGTAAAGCGTTCTAAGTATTCTCCTCCAGTTGAGTCGCAAGCTTCACTCATACCAGAAACATGCACTAACAGGATTTGCAACATATTTGTTCCAATGAAATTGTTTAATCTGACAGGCCCTCAATAGGTTACTGACGGCGTGACCCATCTGCCGGTGTATCCAACAATGCTCAAAAGCAAGCTCAAAGGCATGCCTTCTAAGGTGAATGATCAGCAGCCAAGTCTCCACTCGCAAGCACACCTCTCCACCCAACGGACTTAGACGAGTTAAAATCACAAGGTCATGCGATTGCTTGTCATGCAGGTTGGCATGCCGAGGTGTTGGATTGGTGTCAAGCGATCTCTGGGAATCTCACCATTAGTCACCAAACGAACAAAGGTCAGCAACTTAAAAGTCCAATCGGTTTAGCAAGTCGTGCACTCCTGTTATCAGTTCATGGCTCCTGGTGTCATATAAGATGGTTACCTAGAATGCGGCTGCTTACGGAAGAATTTGTTGGAAATATTACACTTGCTGTACCAGTCCTGGCATGTTTTACATGACCCATTTGTTTGGGGATAGAATATAATGAAATTCTACAGATTTCGATGTTTTTTCTTAGAATGATTTCCTTTCATTTTCTTTTACATTTTCTGACATGCTTGAAAAATGTCAATTTAGCTTACGCTTACGATGTGAAACTGAGGAACCGTGTACATGTTACGGAGTAATGATACGAATGTCCACAAGAAGTCCAGTTTTCTTACGGGATGACTATGTTCTCGATTGTGCGTCCAGTAAGGATCATCACCCCCTGGGCCAATAATTGATGATCATCATCATCGCCGCGACTTGAAGGCAATACACGTTGCGTCAATACATCGAATCTGACTTTTCTCAGATCCATTCTGACTTTTCTAGAATCTTTCATGCATGTAATTCATATGTTCCCGCTTCCTGTTGTAGCCAAATCCGATGAGTTCGGAGAGTCTGAGTTGAGAGATGAGTCGCTTGTCCCTAAGTTTTTGGCATGGTTTTGTACGAAGGTGTTACTCTGATTTCGGCTATACAGGCCCCATAGTTTAGCAGCGTTTGATGTCGGGGAGATAATCATTTGCTAGTCACAGTATATAGTATATGCAAGTAGTCCATCTGCGTATATACATTCGTTTGTTGCAATACTTTGTTCGGTAGATTCTCAGTAAGTAACTCTCAGTCGGATAGCGGTTGGTGTGGGATATGTAAGCATGTTAAAAGTCATGATTACTTCAAAATACAGAGAAATAATTACGTGTATGTGCAATGATATCAAACTTTTTTCGGTAGACGAATGTTTAGGGTTTAGGACCATCGAGATGTGTGGTTCAGTGATTCAGTGGTCGTGCTGTGTTGGTGTAGAGCTAACTTCTGTTTACCAAATTCATTGTACCCAATGCTTCCACGAATTCGTAAAAAGACTGTGTTGCACAGTGCACACTCTTTACACGTGGATGAATAGAGATGCACATTCAATACTTGCAGCCAGCACAGACACACACACAGGGCACGATGCACTAATTTCCACAGAAGTGGTGATTCATGACTTTTACTACGTGCTGATTTGGAATTCTGGAAACTTGCAGCCAAAGCAAGGCTCATTCACTGTTTTGCATGCCTGTTATTTGCTGCTGTTTTTCCATCACTTCAAACTGCGTCAAGAGGTTTCTCATCAACCCCCAGTATATGAGAATTGTCTGGAATTTATTTTCTGGAGGACAGGACGAACGTTGAGGAAGCTGTGGTCACCCTCTGTCCACTGCTGGTCACATTCTTTACTCAGGTTGTCAATGCTGCTGCTAGTCAGTGGCTGATGAGGTCAAGATGAATCCTCCAAATCTTTTTGTCCTATTTCCAATCGAGGAGAACCAGCTCCCTGCTAGAGAATGGAATGAGCCTCAAACACAAATCCTGTCACACATCCAAACCATCAAACTTGCCGACACGGTCTAGACGTAAGGACAACATTCGAAGAGGGCACACCGCCTTGTGAATGAGTGCGCACACGAGGTGTCTAGAATTACCACGACCATCCATTTGGGAGGTGAAGGGCAATGCTCATGCTGGGGCCTTTCAGGACCATCAGCGCTGAGAACGACTTGCATACTCCGAGCCCCACACACTTCAGTACAAAGTTACAACGGGATTTTGCGACTAATACAAATGCCGGCCTGATTAGTCTGGTCGGACGCCTAAATTATCTAAATTAGCTTAATTTAGTCGCAACCAGATACTTTCGTTTAGGCGGTGTGTAAATGTGAACCTTATTTAACATTTGCAGTGCAAAACACTGCACGAACATCTACAACATGTACTCCTAAACGACAACCTTTCGAACAATGATACCAGCACCCACAAGAACACGAGTAAGCTCGAGCAGGAGGGAGATCTCCAATCGAGGTGACCGCGCTTGAAGTTGGTAAAGCTATTGCCAGAAGCAAGCGGAGAAGTCGGTCGTTGTTACTCTCTTGGGAGTTGCATGGACTCAGAAAGGCGAGTGTTGCTTGTGTTCCAGTCCGTGCAGAACGTTTCCAAGGCTGTTAATATATGGCGACTACAAAGTTGGCCTTCTGAAGATGTAGAGACAGACTATTGCTGCTTACAGCTTGAAACCTCAAACCCCGAATCAGGTCTCTCTGTAGCTCTCTTCAGCACTTTCTCCAGGGATTAAAGGTCAAGATTCTCTCACGCTCACATGAAGAGTTCGCGCTAAACCATACGGCTAGGAAGACGAAACCCCTTGGAATTATCGTCTGGAAAGCAGCTCTGTACTCTTGACATTAAAGTGAAACTGGTGAAACATCTGTCTGCTGGTGAAGTCCAGTTGCATCAAAGCCCAAATCAACTGCGCTCTTGGATTATTGGTTGTCCTAACCCCAAGGTGGATAAGTCGGTCCATGATTGCTTTGGTACTCCAAGCAAATTTTACTACGAGGAAAAATCCCATTACACGAGAGACAATCTTCACTCTCAATTATCCTCTGATTTCTGATTCTCCTTCTGCCAAATCTTCTCTAAGGCCGGAAACCTTCATCAGAGCACCACACTCCATTGTCTCCGTGCTTTTGAAGGCATCTACTACCGAGTACAGCTTGTATACTGTGCCAGCGGTTGGTTCTATTAGATTGCAACCGATTTTCTGGAGGGCTAAGGTAGACTAGCTACAACAAGGATGTGGAAATTCGTCAATACGAGGGTACTTCTTGAGAGCCAATGGATTTTTTAAAGCAGGCGTTACTGCATACCTGCTATAGTTGTCGACAGGATTGCCAGAGGCACATCTAGTAAGCATGATAGTTGTGTAGTAGCGATATTCTAGTTCTCTCTGAAACTAAACCGTGTGAGGATAGATACTGTATTTCATGAAAGTAGGACTATCCCTGATCAGTGAGTTCGTTTGTAACCTTACATAGGTTAGAACAAGTGTCGATGATTTATGGGTTGAAATGTGACAGCCATTCACAGATTCGAACTTCCTGGTACAAAACAGCTTTCGGGGCCTCTGACTGTTGTTGTCCTTTATTTCTTCACTTGAAGTGCCGATCAGGGCAGCAGGGCTTTCACGGTCACTGATTTGATTCCACTGAATGTGTATCGGCGTGCTTTAACCTGTGTCCTCCGTGCGTTAGAGTCGTGGATGCTACAATTTTCACACGGGTATCGTAGACCTCGGCCTCTTGCAGTATTCACTGGAGTTTTAGTGCAGCTCTGGATCGAAACTTCTGGAAGTCAAGGCACACGAACAGCGTTCCAGATCCGAGACGACATCCACAATGAGACACGTCTACTCTCCTCCCCAGCCCAATCTCCTCCACTGTACAGACCAGCGAATTCCATTACATATCGTACCATCAGATACATCCTTGCAGCCATGTTGCAAGACTTCTTCGTGGAGTTGCACTTCTATTGTGAATACAAATGTAATGGAAGTTCAAGAAAATTTTTATTTTTATTTTCAGTCAAGTGGTGAAAATTCCACTGCAAGAAGAGCAAAATACACACGGCCACAAAACCGAGAAAGGCGAACCTGTTCGGCGGAATTTAGGTTTTTAACTCCATGATAAACCGATCAAAACTACTCGTATGAAAATACCTCTAATCGGGTGTGTGTGCACCCATCTAACCTTATCACCTTGAAACGTGCAAATAGTATCATATCGAGCCCACTTACTCATGAACTTTTTGCCTGCACTAAGAGACTCAGCAAGTTTGTGTTTCTCCAGCAACTGAACGCGCAACCATGCCGTTCTGGCATTCCGCATCCGACAGCGCATTCTCCAGTTGAGCAATGTACCATTGGGTGTTATTGAAGATGCACGCTTTCCGTCTCAACCAGATAATTCACATGATTGAGCCATGTTTGACTGATATGATAACCAACAAATACCAAAATGGAGCATAATGGTAAAGATTACTTCCCACATAGACAGATGCAACACCAAGAGTCAAGATTTGTCACTAATTAACATTCTATTGAAGAGTTTTACTTCTAAGGCACATGTCACTCCCAGAGGACACTGCTCGTTTACGGCCGAAGGTACGAAGAGCAAAGTATAATCGTCCACACAACCTAAAACTTATCCAATCGACAGCTGCGCGAATCACCTTCGACCCCACACTGAGATTTCAGGAGAAAACTTCCCAGAATTGCACATTCTTAGCTTACCGCCTCGAATGCCCACACTCAAATTTGCTTAAATCCAGAATAGCCCTAGGCTTACTCAGAACATCCGAATTAGACCATCGCAGCTCTAGATGCGAAAACTTCGACAAACCAAAGCGCATCATGCACGGTGACAGAACACACAAGCTCACAAAAGCGCATAGTAAATACAGATTGACAGCCAAGACAAGTCAATTGACAGAAAAGCCCCCCAAGTAAAAGAGTCTTGGGTCTCTTTATTCACTCTGAACTCCTAGACATCTCAACCGCCCGAGGCAAACTACTCTCAGGTGCAGTTCATCTGACGTAGTGGCTACAGCGTCCTCTGAGCTTCCGTCGGCTCCTAACCTACGCAACATGCTTAAAATCTCTATCTCTAAATTCTCGCATGCCTCTTCCAATCCGGAAGAGAAAGAATTGACTAGTCTAACTAACTGTTTGTGCCCAGCGGCTCCGTTGATCTTCATGCTGATCAATAGTCGCTCCAACAAATCCAACTTCAACCATTTCAGCGTTTGGACTTCCCACATCGCAAACCCATGCATGCACTTATCTACACACAAACGCAAACTGTCGGTTGTCTCTTCTCTCAACTGTTGATACGCCGCCTCTGCCTTTTTCGCTCTCGCTCGCGATTCCTTCAACTGCTTCATAACCAACTTTAACCGCCCTTGCAACCGGCCGCAATCTGCTTCAAACCTTACTCTACATTCAACCTCTAAAGACCTAGCAGATTCGTAATCTGTCAATTTCATAGCTCAA